TAAAAGATAAAAGGTATTATCATTTGCAGGCCCATTGTAGAATCTTGCTCTCATCGCGGTCTGCCTGAAAGAAACTCGGCCTCTTGCACATCTTCGTACTGGTCAGCCCCTGCCCCTCCTTCCTGGTACCATGTCTTCTGCTGTTATTGTTTCCAAGCCTCTATGGCGATTGATATGACCAAAATATTTCAGTTTCCGAGACAAGAAGCTGTTTATTAGTCAATCTTCCTTGATGTTCATATGTTTTTAAATATCAGTCTTTCTTTTCTTCTTTGTTCATTGTATTCTAAGAATCTTTCTATACATTTCAACACAAAAGTCACTATTTTCTTTCTTAAGGACTGGGAAGTAGTCCATGGCTGATATCCGTACGTTTCAACAGGGAAGATGCACGAAAATCAACATTATATTTTGACCTATCTATAGTAGGAATCAAAGTTTTTATTTAGCCTATTGTCAAGTGACAATTAGCTTTGAAAATGCACGTAACTGCAAATCGCATAAACTGCACTAAAAGGACTCTGCAGTAGTCCCAACGAAGTCTTCAAAGAAGTCACTCCCAGTTGCAAACACACAAGCATGCACATGCAGAGTCGTCTTAACTGTGTTATGGGGCCCCTGGACAAACTAGGGTGCTGGAGCTCCTACGATACCCACTCACAAGAATAAAAAGAACGTTTTGTTTATGGCAAGTCAGTTAACATTTCAAAACACATCACTGATTAGCGTGGGCATCTATACTCGTGGAGCCCCCGGGCAAGTTCCAAATGGGTCCAAGCGTGTAGACGACACTCCGCACATGGGTAAAAGTAACGTTGGTCTCCCCACGGCGCGCCTATATTAACAAAAGCTAACTTATGATTGGTAATTCCTGAAGTTGTCCACTTGACTCAAGGTTACGGGGGTGTTCAGCAATGCCGTTGATATCGCGTGTTGTATATTTCATCACGCCAGCGTTTCTAACACTCCAAAAACATGGAGAAACTGGTCCCAACACAAGCCCCTAGAGAGTGCTGCAACCTATGTCACAGGCATTCTCTTTCTCGGAATGAAAACGTAAATGCAAGACATCACATAGAGCAAAAAAACAAAGCGAGACACACCCGTAACCTTCAGGAAAGTCGACCAGCCCAACAAACTTGTGAATGGAAAGTGACCTATTATATTCCTGGAGATTAACGTGAACCTAACCCGCATGTGCTCTGTCTTGCCACTCTTAACCTCTCTCCCCCCCCCCCCCACCCCCCCCGACCCCAGCTGTTTTCTGATGATTATAGTTTTATAAAACGTTCAGTTTTAAAGAACTCATTTAACAATTCGCCACTTTCTTTTAATTTGAACGCTCCCCATGGCTGACGTCATATGCTGTGACATTAATAATGTCAGACATTTAGCTTTCAAAATTTTTTTTTTAAAATGCAACAACAGCTCTAAAGATAAAGACTGCGTTTCTTTTTTACTTTTGTTTAAAAAAAAATTTTTTTTGCGGCAACAGGAGTTTGTCAGGACATGTCACTTTGTCCTTGTTACATAACACTGGCTATTGAAAATCGGTAGAGACATGATAGCATTACATGCAACACGCACATAATTCTCACATCGATTGATTTGCAGAGGCAAAATTAACGAAACTGTCGATGTGGTTCCGCGGCTCTGTTTTGGAAGGAAACAAAGAATAGACCCCCTGCTTACCAATAAAAGAAGTGGCAAAAAATAGATAATTGAATATTCGTTGAAATCAGATATCACGGATCGAACATTGTAGAATTCGTAGTCTTGCTGTATGCCACAACTCAGTGTGCCACCCGCTTTTTAAGATTTAAAAGGAATAAGACGAAGAAGAAAAAGAAGAAGAAGAAGAAGAAGAAGAAGAAGAAGAAGAAGAAGAAGAACGAAGAAGAAGAAGAAGAAGAAGAAGAGAAGAAGAGAAGAAGAAGAAGAAGAAGAAGAAGAAGAAGAAGAAGAAAGAAGAAGAAGAAGAAAAAGAAGAAGAAGAAGAAGAAGAAGAAGAAGAAGAAGAAGAAGAAGAAGAAGAAGAAGAAGAAGAAGAAGAAGAGAAGAAGAAGAAGAAGAAGAAGAAGAAGAAGAAGAAGAAGAAGAAGAAGAAGAAAGAAAAGAAAAAAGAAAAAGAAAAAGAAAAGAAGAAGAAGAAGAAGAAGAAGAAGAAGAAGAAGAAGAAGAAGAAGAAGAAGAAGAAGAAGAAGAAGAAGAAGAAGAAGAAGAAGAAGAAGAAGAAGAGAAAAGAAGAAGAAGAAGAAGAAGAAGAAGAAGAAGAAGAAGAAGAAGAAGAAGAAGAAGAAGAAGAAGAAGAAGAAGAAGAAGAAGAAGAAGAAGAAGAAGAAGAAGAAGAAGAAGAAGAAGAAGAAGAAGAAGAAGAAGAAGAAGAAGAAGAAAAAGAAGAGGAAGAAGAAGAAGAAGAAGAAGAAGAAGAAGAAGAAGAAGAAGAAGAAGAAGAAGAAGAAGAAGAAGAAGAAGAAGAAGAAGAAGAGAAGAAGAAGAAGAAGAAGAAGAAGAAGAAGAAGAAGAAGAAGAAGAAGAAGAAGAAGAAGAAGAAGAAGAAAGAAGAAGAAAGAAGAAGAAGAAGAAGAAGAAGAAAAAGAAGAGGAAGAAGAAGAAGAAGAAGAAGAAGAAGAAGAAGAAGAAGAAGAAGAAGAAGAAGAAGAAGAAGAAGAAGAAGAAGAAGAAGAGGAAGAGGAAGAAGAAGATTACAATGGAAATGCCATGTATAATTCCAGACAATTTACATTCTGTTGTAAAAAGAATATCGAAAGATATTGCTCACGCCAGTGAAGCATCGGGTATGCAGTACTGGACGAATACTCTAATAGACAAATTAGCACTCGATCGTTGATGCAGTCAGCATCACGCTGGTCGTCTTTACTTCTGCGGATATTACCTGGTACCCGTTTCAATCTTGGCTGACCAATGAACCGGGGTCAGCTTATAAAAAAAATAACATCCGCTATGATGTGGATTAGAACCCTAAGCCTTCGGGCTAGCGTCCAAGTGTCACGCTACCGGGAATAAATCTACGATGCCTGTATGAAACAGACCAAATAGTATGTAACTTTGAGGCTACGTATTATCTATACACACGATATGAGGTTCTCAGTTTTAACTTACCATTTTTGATATCCATTTACCGTCGTGTAATCTTTTGGATAGATCTAAATGATTACAATGTTAATTTGTCTAAATGTAATTTTATAACAGATATGGCACAAAGGAAACATTATGCACGGCTAACTGGCATAGTTGGTTAAACCTGACTTCGCGGCAACCGGGTGACAACCTCCTTGTGGTCCGGGTTCTAACCCGGAGGTAGGGAGAAAAGCAAACATTTCTCCTAGATTTACGGTATCTATTATGAAATCAAGACAAGGGTTGCGGTATCCATAGTACCGAGCCAAAGGGTTAACAACTCGTGGTTTAAAAAAAAAAAAAAAATGAAACATTATACAACAACAGTAACAGCCACAGCAAACAAGTTTACGGGTTAGTTATTACACAAAATTAAATGCATCCTTCGATCGGGTGTCATTTTCTGAATTTGAGCAGCTGAGTACTTTGCTGTTCTGCGGGATGTGTTTCTGTTCTCAGTATATATTTCAATGCATTATTTTACATGTAAACACGAACTGATCCGTTGTTTTTCTAGAACTAAATCACTTTTATCGCTTTGCAATAAAATAAAATAAAAAAAAAAAAAGGTTACTGGCGTATCTTTTACATGGCGTTGGAGAACCAATACCGGCATTATTTGTACTGTTGGTGATTTCAAGAGACAATTTTTTTTTTTTTTGGTTAGTAGTGTATCCTTTACAGGACGTTGCAGAACCAACCCCAGCAGCCCCCGGCTGTTGTGTGGTTCCTCTCAGCATATTTACGTACAGTAGTTTGCCATTGCTTACTGGACGGTCAGCCCCCTGATACCACTGTCGAAACCAACGCAAGGCGCATGGTCTGCAGCTGGGATCGAACCTGGCACCCCGGCATCACGAAGCGTTCGCATCGACTTAGCCACAGAGCCGAAAAAACAATGTTTACATTCAGTAATTTAGTATTGCCAAACTAATCGGTAGATTTTTGGTACCATTAATGAAACGAACCTAACACTTCGGAATTATGAAGCTTGTTCGATACGGCGTAGTCACAGATGTCGACCATTTTACAACAGTAACAGTAAATACCGATTTGAAGGTACTTTATTTTACTTGTAATATCACTATCGTCATCAATGAGCAGGTACTTTACAAAACGTCGCTTTCTTCACGGCACACCGAGGTCTCTCTATCTCTAGTCAATTCTCCAGCCCGTTGTGAGTTTGTAGCCTATGCATCTTGAATGTCATGAAATCATCTTTCATTCTCTGGAAAGTTCACCTTCCATCACATGAAGAAGATTGAACTGGATTATAACTATTTTATCTCCGTATGGGTTCAGAGAATCCAGTTTGGGGAGTGGGGAGAGGAACAGACCCATTGCGCCTCAACAAGAATGTCGTACAGGCGACTAAATAGGGATGTTGTCTTCGAAGTCGGAATGCATCTGCTTCAGAGACGAGGCACCAACAGTCTGCACACAAATAACCCAGATCTTTAAAATTAACGTGAAGGCAAAGTTCAAGCTCTGGAACAAGCCCACAGTCTAAAAGTGTCTACTTTAGTTTACAGCCGATGAATGTTAGGAAGAAAAAGAAGAAGTAAAAGAAGAAGATTACGTAAAACAATGCTAGGTTCATAAAGCTCCGAAGTCTGTTTCACTATATATAAGCGGTCCCCAACCTGCGGGTCGCGACCGTTTGTTAGGTCGAACGACATTTTCACGTAGGTCGCCTAAGATCATCGGAAAACACAAATTCTTTGATGTTGTGGGGGAAAATAATTGGAATAAAAGGAGTCGCCACAACATGTGGAAACTGTATGAAGGGAGCGCGGCATTAGGAAGGTTGAGAGGCACTGCTATAACAAACAACATTACACCGAGTCCGTAGTACTTACCGTCACTGATGACGTAATTTGGCGTATGACAAAGGATTTCTTTGTATCCCTGCCTAAAGGCAGGAGATCGAAACGCGTAAATAATTGGGTTACACATGGAGCTCAAATACAGGAACATGTACGCCTGGAGATGGGAACAGAAACAACATGAATAGATTAATGATACATCAATTATTGAGCAGTTGAGTTGACATAAATAGATTAATAAGACACAATTTCTTCTTCTTCTTCTTCTTCTTCTTCTTCTTCTTCTTCTTCTTCTTCTTCTTCTTCTTCTTCTTCTTCTTCTTCTTCTTTTCCTTCTTCTTTTTCTTCTTCTTCTTCTTCTTCTTCTTCTTCTTCTTCTTCTTCTTCTTCTTCTTCTTCTTCTTCTTCTTCTTCTTCTTCTTCTTCTTCTTCTGCCTTTCTAACCCCCAGTAGAGCACTGGCCCTCAACCATCTCACGCCAAGTTGTTCTATCGTACGCTAATGCATATCTCTATATCATCCTTATCTTTTTAGCTTCGCGATCCAGCTCCCATCTTTGGTCTTCCTTTATTTCTATCCCCCTGTGGGTTTCACTGCAACGACATTCGAGTTCCATTGTTCTCATGGTCTGTCAGTATGCGGCCTTTCCAACGCCAGCGTCTTTTCTGCACCCCTTGGTCCACTGGAACTTATTTAGTTCTCCCCCAAAACTCAACATTAGTGATTCTATCATACCATTTAATTCCCTCTATTCTGCCTAGGCACCAGTTTATGAATGTTTGTAGTTAATTAGTCCGCTCCATGCATCAGTTACTGAGTATAAATTAAAAAAAGGTATCTTTTTACGCAAGTTGCGTATTTTGTACATGATAGACATATTCAGACGGCAGGTTTATATTCTGCTATATGGGTGCACAAAGATCGCAGTCAATGGCAATGGCGCGAGTATGACTAGCATGACCCACCTGAGTTGTAATTAAAAAAAATATCTTCCACAATTCGAGCACGCCCTGTCCAGCATACAACATAATGCATGATCTTTTAAATTTATGAAAGTGTGTGCAAGGTGGACAATTGACGGACGAACACAAAATTAACCCATTGCTGCACCTCTGTCGATACGCAGATGAAGGAGAAGACATGCTGAACATGATTAATACAGGGGACGAATCATTGGTGCATCACTACCACCCCGAATCAAAGCGTGCTTCAGAGCAATATAAACATTCTTCTTTACTTTTGCATTCAAAAATTCATGGTTACGCCATCGGCAGAGAAGGTTATGCTGAGCATGTTCTGAGATTGTCAAGAGTTGCTTTTAATCAAAAAAAAAAAAAAAAAAAAGTGAGAATGTACAAACTGGTTCATATTGTACAGTTCTATCGATGCTTCATGGTGCAATTCAAAGTAAACGTCTAGGCCCGCTGATAAGAGGAGTACTGCTTCTTCACGGCAATGCCAGACCATACACGGCTTGGTTAACTCAGGAGAAAATTAACCATCTAGGGTGGGAACTTCTAGAACATCCATATTACAGCCCCTACTTATCTTCTAGCGATTTCTACCTTTTTGGTACACTGAAACCCCAACTTGGCGAGAGACATTTCGCGAATGACGCAGAAGTTAAATGTAAAGTGTAAATGTGGTTTAGAAAACAGAGCACACAGTTCTATGCAGCAGAATTGGGAGGACTGATAAAACGATGTAACAAGTGCATCAACGTTGGTGGAAATGATGTTAACAATAAAGGGACAGTTCTTGCGTAAAAACAAACGGTTTTCAAGTTGTTATCGTCTCTAGGTTGTGACTTACTAATTGACTTGTCCTCGTGTAATGCCGTGCAGTGAAAACAGTTCAAAAGAATAACCGAAATACAACAAGGAATGAAAATTCTGTCAAATAACAAGTACCAACCAAATCAATCTTCTTTATTAATTATGGATCAAGTTACTGCAATGAACACCTATTAACGCAGTTTGCGGCCTTCCTATTTTCCATTTCCGCTGAATCAATCAGCTATTGATGAGTCTGTTGTCAACTCCGTGGATCACATGTCGTGTATCGTATGACCTGGTTTCAGTCCAGGATGAAAGAGGATCCGAAAAAAAAAAAAACAACAATTAAGTAAAAAGTAATGGACCATTTCCCAGACGTTGTCATCATCGTCGCCATAGCGATCATCACCACCGCACCACCACCCTCATCGTCGTGTCGTGCCGGTTTACCTCATACAGACCTCGTAGCCTAGACCTTCGTTATCCCTGTTATTTATCTTGATTAATTCAATGTTTACGTTAGTTTTGCATCATGGAATAGCGGCTGGCCAAACGCTTAAGAACGTAGGGCTCTCTTTTGAGAGCCCTATGTTTAATTGGCAGGCACGGTCAAAAATATTTTTTTATCTCTGTAGGCCCCCTCCCCCGCTCCGTTGAAAAAAAATCAAATTAAAAAAATTATCTACACAGTCCGTGGCGACAGCACTAGCCTTGCAGCCCTAAATCCTCAGGCTCAAAGATTTTCCCTGCCTACACCCCAAAAGTATTAAATACTGGCAGTAATGGCAGTTGCATCGAGCATGTGTTGATGACTCTGTAGACCAGTCGACACTTCGTATGTGATCTTGTTAATACAGCTGTATATTACAAAGGCCCACTTTGCTTCTCAGAACATTTCTGGTTGTCATTTTAGGATAAGTTGACCCAGCAGCTAAGGTTAATTGATAATTTGTGTTCTTCTCCCTAGTGCAGATTCGAGCCCAACAGTTCCGGGTTGGAAGGCTAGTGTCTAGCCTCTACGTTACACCCCTCCCCCACCCCCCCCCCCTCTTCCCCGCAAGGTATAAGATACTTAATGGATATTTGTAGTGGCCCATCGGATCTCAGCGTGTGATGTTGTTAACTCATTAAATCGGATGATGTTGCGTCTTAAAATATTGTCTGAGGCTAATTTTAATCTGTCGAATTTAGACTAGACTCGTTTTAACTCTTTCAACGCCAGACAGTTAAACGTTAACTGACTATTCTACAGTTAGGTGTACACTTTTTTTTTTCTTCACCCAACAGTTGCCTTATGCATTTTTACTTTGCGATGAAAGCTTCACGATTTTGCTATGTCTGACACGCTTTTCAATTGTTTCAAATGTGACAGTGAAGGATATTTTATGTCATTTCCGCAGGACAGGAAGAGACCAGTTACAGAGTGACCTGTCTGTATAGATGTTAGAACCTCTCTTTTTACTAAATATAGTGCGTTTCGAAACTCATGCCGGCAAACAAATATTTTGAAAACTCATGTAAGGGTCGACACGTATGTTGGTTTGTGGCCTTCGAATTCCAATGTGTGTGTGTGTGTGTGTGTGATGTTATAATTTACAGCTGCACGCGTGCTGTTGTTTTCTCAAAGCGACGAATTCCAAAACAAGTAATGAACTGAGGCCCAGCTCCGCCGAACTGCATACTAATGAGTGACGGTGTCGGGCCATGACACTGAGATGTGACGTTCACTCATGCATGTTAACCTTTGAGACGCATTAGTTTAAGTGCTAGGTCGGTGCTACGTTGTACTGTCTCGGCGGTCTTACCTGCGACTACACGTGCTCTATATTACAGGGAGTAAGCGGTTTTAACGACCCCAAACATGTAACACTGGCCCTAATTCCAGCCCCTTACCCGACACACAAAGCCTAGGTCCCACGAGAGGGTGCATTCTACACCCCTCTAACGTAGACCAGCCTGATCAATCATCAATGAAAGGTTAATTAATGTGTAGCTGGAAGGAGCTGGGCCTGAGGTCGTTACTTATTCCCGAATTCCTTTGTTTTTTATTTGACCAAAAATGTGTTTACCACTGACATTAGAATTTAGGGTAACAGTAATTGTTTGGAAATTACTTCACATGTGCACATGTGCAGTAATGCGTGAGGATTGTTTGGATAGCCATTTAAACAAACGTTAGTCTCCCCAAACAAAGTAGGTCGCGTTCCATTGATAAGTTTGTTGGCCTGGTCTACCTTGCTGGAGGTTACTGGTGTGCCGCTCTGTTATTTGCTTTCTGGGATGTCTTGCATTTAGGTTTTTATTCTCAGAAAGAGAATGCATGTGACATACGTTTCATCACTCTCTAAAGGGGTTTTGTGTTAGACCCAGTTTGTCGATGTTTATGAAGTGTTAAAAGAGCTGGTATGCTGAAATATAGACAGTCGATATCAGCGGCATTCCTGAACACCCCCGTAACCTTGTGCCAATCTTGAGTGGCTCAAGGTCGACCAATCAGAAGTGAGCAAGGCTGAAAGCCGACCAATCATAAGTAAGCTAGTATGTGACAGTGTGTAAATGGGGAGAGCAACGTTGCTTTTACCGAATAGCCTATAAGGCATACACTGAAAAGTTGAGTTCATCTAACAACTAATGGGAGGCAGTTGCTGGAGATGACTCCTCAAGAGTGAAATGCACAAGAAAATCGTGCAATTCAATGTTTTGAAAAGATTCCCTTGCTAAGTTTACCCCAGTTACCTGTAAGCGTGCTGATTGTCTGCTTTGAATCGGTGTCTGGTTATTTTAAGGAAAGATGTGAACCAAATATGTGTTTACATTAAAAACAAATTAAATACTTTATAACGACTTGATTTTAACAGGCTGCATGCCAAATTTCCACAGCTTGCACAGAACGGTTACTAAGTTACACATTTTTAAAGTTCGCCTGGACACTTCCAGGACACTTCGCCGGTTATAGTTTTATTTTAGTCCAGTTTACCCACTGGTTATATTCCCCCTTGTGTCCCGTGGTTTGATAGTTTTAATTAATGAACATGTATCTTTGTTATTCTAAAGTACATTGCCTTTGAGACAAAAAGTATGGAAATAACTTGGATTGAAAGAGTTGAAGAAACCCTCGCCATGAGAACGACTGGCACACGGTGCTTTTGGTAGGCAAAAATAGAATCTAGAGGGCGCACAGTATAACAGAGACATAACTTCAATTAACTTATGTTAATAAAGTAGTTGACCTTCCTGTTTTCTATTTCCGATCGATCAATCATCTATTGATTTGTCTATTATCAACTGTCTGTAAAGCGTGATCTATTTCCAGCAGACAGCAGGAGGTGGAATCTAAGGAAGTAGAGTTAAAAGACTCTTTTCACGACAGAACTGTAACTCT